GTGCAGTGGCATGATCTCAGCTCACTACAACCTCTACTTCCCGGGTTCAAACGATTCCCCTGCCTCAGCCTCCCAAGTAGCTGGGATTATAGGCGTGCAGAAGCACGTGCAGCTAATTTTTGTATTTTTAGTACAGATGGGGTTTCACTATCTTGGCCAGGCTGGTCTTGAAATACTGGCTTCAAATGATGTGCGCACCTTGACCTCCCAAAGTGCTGGGATTATAAGCATGAGCTACCATGTGTGGCCGGTTTTTTGTTTTTTGTTTTTTTTTTTTTTTTGAGACAGAGTCTTGCTGTGTCGCCCAGGCTGGAGAGCACTGGCATGATCTCAGCTCACTGCAACCTCCACCCCTCCAGGTTTAAACAATTCTCTGCCTCAGCCTCCGAAGTAGCTGGGATTATGGGTTTACCGGCGCGTGCCACCACGCCTGGCCAATTTTTTTGCATTTTCAGTACAGACGGAGTTTCACCATCTTGGCCAGGCTGGTCTTGAACTCCTGACCTCGTGATCCACCCGCCTCGGCCTCCCAAAGTACTGGGATCACAAGCCAACACGCCCAGCCTTCTTTTTCATTTTTTAAGAGACAGGGTCTCACTCTGTCACCCAGGTTGGACTGCAGTGGCGCAATCACAGCTCACGGAAGCCTCAGACTCCTGAGCTCAAGCAGCCTCCCCAAGTAGCTGGGGCTACAGGCGCATGTTGGACTACAGGCCACCATTCCTGGCTAATTTTTTTTAGTGATGGGATCTTGCTATGTTGCCCGGGCTGATCTGAAACTCCTGGCCTCAAGTGATCCTCCCACCTCAATCTCCCAAAATACTGGGATTACAGTGGCGGGCCATCGCACCTGGCCCTCAGTTGTCTGTATGGTTCAGGCACCACTTTGTAAATGAAACCCTAACATTGCAAACTGCAAAGTCTCAGGGAAGTTGTGGTCAGGGGCTGCGCAGGAGGTGGCCGGGCTGGGCCAAGGGTGCAGGTGCAGAGGGCTGGGCTCACCCAGGCAGGTGGTAGCAGTAGCATCTGGTGTGTACCCGGCCTGACAGTGGCAGCGGAAGGAGCCGAGGCTGTTGATGCACTCTCCATGGGCACACAGGTGAGCAAGCATACGGCATTCATCTACATCTGGGGAAAAGCAGGGCGCAAATGGGGCTGGCTGGCCGCCTTGGGCCATCGAGGCATGTCTCCTCTCTGGCCGCAGCCATCTCCTCGGAGCAAAGTCCAGCCTGCCTTCCACACCCGCCACTGCACCCCAGCTCACGTGGACCCCATCCTCAGGCTGCGGATGACACCTGAGCCCGCAGGACAAGCCCATGAAGCTTCCCAGGGAGGGGGACACACACCCACCTCCCCCGGCCTCAACAGCGACACCTCCTCAGTGCACCAACATGCACAACAGAGATACACAGTGCATGCAACATGACACAACAACCACACACCCGACGCTCCTGCAGAAACACGGGAACATACACCCACACTCAGGGACTCCCGTGTCTCCCCCCAGACACACCCCCAGAAAGCCATTTCCTCCCCAGTCCTATTGATGTCACTGCTGGTCACACAGATAACCCATCTCACTCTCAGTGACACACTCAGTGAGACACGCTGATGTCCCCACACTGGCTCACACGCACTCACACACCTGCCCTTGTACACTAACCCAAGCCCACAACACACAGGCCGCCTCCCAAAGTGCTGGGATTACAAGCGTAAGCCACTGTGCCCGGCCTATTTTGTTTTTGTTTTTGGAGACAAAGTCTCGCTCTGTCGCCCAGGCTGGAGTGCGGTAGCACTATCTTAGCTCATTGCAGCCCCAAATGCCTGGGCTTAAGCTTAAGCAATCCTCCAGCTTCAGCCTCCCAAAGTGCTGGGATGACAGGTATGCCACTGGGAGGCAGAGGTTGCAGTGAGCTGAGATTGCACCACCGTACTCCAGCCTGGGTAACAAAGCAAGACTCTGTCTCAGAACACACACACACACACACACACACTGACTCACACACACACACACACACACACACATTGACTCACACACCTGCTCCCTCAACCCCCCGAGTTCTTCCACGCATATGGAGCACATGTACTGGTTCTCATATCTGCTAGCACAAAGACACACACACACACATACATGCACACAGAGTGGCTCACACATTCTAGCACCTGCTGCAGTACAGACGCATGACCCTGAGCAAATTCCCCCGCTTCTTGCCTCCCTGAGGGTCCTGAGGGCATGGGCACCCACCTCGACCCTCAGCGGTGTAGCCTGAGCCGTGGGGGCACAGCTTCCTGTAGGCAGAGGTGCCAGGCAGGGGACAGAGCTCGCAGGGGGGCCCCCAGCCCCGACCACCCCCACAGCAGCACTCGGCCCTGGTGACAGCCTCGCTGCTGCTGGACAGAGCCTGGCACATAGCCTGCAGCACCTCGGCAAAGCAGGGCCCCTGCCGGATGTCTGCGGAGAACAACAGGAAAGCCAAGGGTCACTCCAGGAGGCCGGTTTGGGGGCAAAGACTGATCTTACTTTGGGGCAAGCTGTTCTTTGGGGATGTTGGGAATAGGGGTGTCCAAGAGGGAGCTAGATACACAGGACAGATGGCTGGGGTTAGTTCCTAGGAAGTGGGAGATCTGGGGAAGGTTAGTTCCAGGGTGTGGCACCAGTGAGGTTGGAGAAGGTGTGGAGAAGGCCTCTCACTCTTCCAGGATTTAACAGAAGGGACAGAGGGAAGAGGAACAGCAGGGGAGCACTGGACGTGTGTGTCCAGATTAGCTCAGCAACTCCCTGGGTCGCCCCCCAGTGCCCCAGGCCCCTTGGGGAGCTCCCAAGCAGTGGGGGGAACAGGCAGTGGGAGGGACAGGCAGTGGGGGGACAGGCAGTGGGAGGGACAGGCAGTGGGGGGACAGGCAGTGGGAGGGACAGGCAGTGGGGGAGACAGGCAGTGGGAGGGACAGGCAGTGGGGGAGACAGGCAGTGGGAGGGACAGGCAGTGGGAGGGACAGCCGGTGGGAGGGACAGGCGGTGGGGGGGACAGGGAGTGAGGGAGACAGGCAGTGGGAGGGACCGGCACTGGGAGGGACAGCCGGTGGGAGGGACAG